TTTTAAAAAAATTACAGTAAATATCAAGTAATTCTGGCTGACCTACTGACTCCATTCCAAGGTCATTATATTTTATTTGCTTCAGTTGTTCTTCTTAGAAACGATGCAATGAATATTGGATGCAAATTAGATGTTCAGAGAGTTTATCAATGTGTCTAAAAAATCATCCAGGAAAACAACAGGCCAAAACTCTTTGCCTGCAGAGTTAGTGAGCTAGAAGAGGGATCGAGGATAGGAGCTATATTTTTCCCCTGACCCTATCTCTTATCTGCTACAGCAAAAGGAGACACATAGTAGGTGCTCAATAAATACATGTTAAAAAATATTTGTTGAAAGAAGCCACAGAGAGGAATATCAGTATACATTAGTATTGAAAACAGCACAGGGGGAAATATGGATACTGAAGCACCACCCTCCTGTGCCTGGCAAGCAAGGCAAGAATAAGGCCATTCTTGGCACATGCCACTTGTCTTAGCCTGTTGCTGAGATAACTTGTGTGAAACCAGCACTTTACCCTCTGCCAGCCAGAAGGTCAGCCCAAGAGTGAGCTGATCTGTGGGCACAACACCATCTCTCACCCAGGAGGCTGGGCCCACTGTAAGCTCTGCTATATTATTTCGCTGAGGATGACAGGTGGGGAAATCTGGGCACCAGTTGTTCTTTTCCACTGGTATCATTTGGAAGGTAGCTCCAAAGTCGGGCACGCCAGCCTACGTGCCTCTCCTGCCGGCAGAGGCTCCACATTGGAGCTATTAGAATGTGGGCTCTGTACGTCGGCCAAGTCCATGTCTCAGAGACTGTATCCAGAGCATAGAGTGGCCACAGGCTACTGAGTTCAGCAAGAGAGTCATTCTCTTGTTCAATCTATTATTGCCTGGGCCAAGGTTCTAAGTCTTCGTAGGCAGTATTTGATTTTATGACACATGGCTTAAAAAATTAAGGCAAACTGGAATTAATTTAGTTTTGAGAAAACAACGGAAGCTGCTACAAGGCAGAGGTAATCCTAGGCTGTCAGAAAGTGGTGATCTCAGTGGTGTACATTTGCTGAATTCCTGATTTTCCTCTTTGTGAGGTCTTCCTCCGACTCCCATACTTTGCACATTCTCACCTATGCACACCCTGAACAACACAATGTTGACAACTTGACTGAGCATTGCTTTTTTCTTGAGCTTCAGTTTTATTTCTTCTTCAATACAACAGTGTTGGTTCATTCAATTTGAACACTTAAGGCAAAAAAAAAAAGAAAAAAAAGAAAAAGAAAAAGAAAAAAAAATCCCAGGTTATGTTTTCAGAATCTTACCTTTTTGTTTTGAGGGTTCTGTGAGTTTTGTGGCATATTTATATTGTTGCTTACATTCTTATTTCAGAATTTAAGATAAAAACTGGACGGACAACAACTGTCACATTTTCTGAGTGTGTTGAAATGAAAAATCTATTTCTCAGAATTAATGGTAAAGCAACATTTCCTGTCAATCTTTTATTCTTTAATATTACGTGTGGGTTCAGCTCACCATCTCCAAAGAGAAAGTCAGATGATCAAGTTACATTGTATGTGACATTAACTATCTCTTTATCTGTGTAAATGTCATAATATCTGCTTGCAAAGTGTTTTATTCATTTTTAGGAAAAAGTTTTAAACTGTGCTTGCAATTCAGGATGGTGCTACTAGGTGGCAGTAATGTAAAAGAACTATGTGGTCGCCCTGGAAGAGTATTTGACTAAGAGACTAGCATGTCTTCCCGTAATTATAAGAAATAACAATATAATATTTTTAAAATACTCAAACTGGCACAAACAGGAAACATCTATTAACTTAGTTACCAGATTTAAGCTGAGCTTTTAAAAGAGAAAGGCTTTTTTTTTTTTTTTTTGGAGACGGAGTCTCCCTCTGTCGCCCAGGCTGGAGTGCAGTGGCGCAATCTCGCCTCACTGCAAGCTCCACCTCCCGGGTTCACGCCATTCTCCTGCCTCAGCCTCCCAAGTAGCTGGGACTACAGGTGCCCGCCACCACGCCCGGCTAATTTTTTGTATTTTTAGTAAAGACGGGATTTCATCATGTTAGCCAGGATGGTCTTGATCTCTTGACCTCGTGATCCGCCCGCCTTGGTCTCCCAAAGTGCTGGGATTACAGGCGTGAGCCACCGTGCCTGGCCGAAAGCCTTGTTTCTCTTAATGAAATTTTAAATAAAGTATACATTCACAAGCTCAAACATCTGAAAATACAAAAGATATATGGTGAAAAGCCTTCTCTCATGCCTGTCCCTCAACTACCACAAGTAACTAATTTTGTTAGTTTCTTGGGTATCCTTTCAGAGTTTCACTAGACAAATATGTGTTTTTATCTCTCCGCATTTTAACACAAATCAGTGCATAGACTTTCTGCATCCTTCCATATATAGTTGGTCAGTATATTGTTGTGTGAATACTTTAGAATATAATTAACCAGTCCCCTATTAATGGATATTTTATGCTGTTTCCAATTTTATGCTATTTCAGCCATGTGCTCATGTGATTTCACATGTAGGATAATTCACAGAAGTGGAATTGCTGGGTCTAAATTATATACATTTGCATTTTTAAAAGGTATTGCCAAATTGGCCTTTACAGAGTTTGGACCAATTTATACTGAACTTTCTCCAAAATGGGCTTGTTTTCCCACAGCCTTGCCAGTAGGGTGCATGATCAGACTTTGGAATCCTTGTTAATCCGATTGGTTGAACAATGTATTTCAAAGTACTTTAATTTTCATTCTCTTAAATGAGACTTTTATTCTCTTCTATCTTTAAGGGCCCTTTTTATTTCCTATTTCTGTGAAGAAAGTGGAAATGCCAATAAATACACTCATGCATACATATATGTAGGGTTTTGTTATTGATGTAGCTTGTTTTTGCCATCATGCTATACATGATTTTCTTTAATTTGCTTTGCTCATTTAACCATACCTCCTGGCCATGGCTCTGAAGAGAAGTTGCTGGCAGTGCAGAAAGAGGGCCAGGACTGGAATGTCTGCTTCTCTCTTCATCCTTTTGCCATTGACTCCTGGGGGAAATATCTGTAGACCGAAGCAGTGAAATCTAATCAATTCTCTTTCTGACACTAATTAAGGCTTCAAAGAGACAGATAACCACTTGGGATAATTTAGTCACACTGAAACTTGGGAAATGGTCAGTAATATTTCATCCGCTGAATGTGGACCCCAAGAAAGTTCTGGCTCTTTGAGTTGATGTCTTGGCAATTTTCAAGGTAACGTGTATAGGAAAACCTAGATTATGCAGATGAAAAGAAAACAAACATGATCTTCTGCATCCTTTGCAGATTTGAAACTTTGGGCACAGATTTGATTCATTTCAATGAGATATTGCTCTTAGCATGCACATAAAGTGGTGCAAAGTTGTACTGGAATATGGTCTCCTCAACTTTGGGCTCACTGCATACATATGGAGATGACAGTAACTGAATCCATAGTTATCAAGTGGTGGCATTTTAGAACACAAAGGGACAGCAGATGCCATCTCTGTCAACTCCTTCCCTCTACAGATGAGGAAACTTGGGCTAGAGGAGGTTGAATGACTTGTGTAAGGCTTTCCCAGCTAGTTAATGGCAGTGCCAGGACTCAAGTCCAGGAGGGTCCCCTCATTACTGGTCCTTGCCCTTCCTGCAATTTATAGGACTTCCCTGAGGCACATGTGCTGAGGCTTTGCTATTGCCAGGCATTCTCTGCTCTGAAACAGCCCTATCTCACACACCCCTTTCCACTTAGGATCCCTTGCCTCACACTTCCAAGACAGCTGATTGAGGCTAAATGGGTCTGACGCCATTCTATTAGTGCAAAATAAATTGGCTTATGGCAACTTGAACTCCTAATCTTGATTTTATCAACACTTTGCCCTGTTTATTCAGACTGTTCATGAGTAGGAAGTTAAGGAAAATGTTGCCTATGAACAAAATGATCAAACTTTTATCTGAAATACCTTTGAAAGTTTTCCCGAAGCTTTAATTATCATGTTCCTTTTGTTTTGGATGTAATATCAGGCCCTCCCAATTTTCCTAAATGTTTGAAAATATTTTTGATACTTTCTGTCTTCTGTTGTGATTTAAAAAAAGAAAGAAAGAAAGAAAGAAAGCACCAGTGTTGGCCGTGCCTGGGGAGTTAGTGAGGTAATCTGGAGAGATCGCTGGACCCTAGTCCTTTGTCCAAGAGGTATGGTCAAAAGAACAAAGCAAATTTCAGAAAAACTGGTATAACATGATCCTATTTTAATGGTAAGTCTGTTCCAACAACTGCTTTCTTTTTCGAATTACACCATGTGCCCAGGCTACAAAGGCTCTGCAGAAATGTGACTCTGTTGGCAAATACACATGTGATACCTTAACTATGCTGGAGGTCAGTTAGCATAATGTGTATTTCAGATGCAGTTTGTCATCAGTGCTGGGTGGTATGGGGCTTAAAACAAAAACAGGATGAGCCTAGAGCACAGAAGTGGAAAATTAGGTGGGTGGGTGAGTATGGACTTGGAAATGGAAAATGTGCTTCCCTGCGGGACGTGGCTTGTGTTCATTAGTGCTGACCTGCCTCCTCTCTAACCCTGGAAGCTGACGTTGACACCAAAGCTCGATGAGAAACTGAATAGACCCTCCTGCCCCCACCAACCAAGGACAAAGATGAGACCACCCAATTCGGTTACGTTGTTGCCAGAACAACATGTTTAATCTTTAACATGGGTTCAAACTATTCTTGCCCCTAGGAACGTGGACTTCAGCAATTAAAGTCAACATGTGCTTCCATTAAACCATTGTGTCCACCTCCAAATGGTTATAAATATGTAGCATAAGCTGTGGGAGTTGGGGTGGGATGGATGACAGCCTTTGCTAATGACACTCTAGAAACCAATATTCTCCTCTCAAAATAACACGGGAAAATTCTACTTAATACCTCCTGGGTTCCATTAGTGGTTCTGGGTAAATAATTCTGGGGAAAATAATTTCTGTTTTCATTCCAGCTGTGCAGCAGATACTGTGATGATGGATTGCAAGTGCAAAGAGTAAGACAAAACTCCAGCACATAAAGGACAATGACAACCAGAAAGCTTCAGCCCGATCCTGCCCTTTCCTTGAACGGGACTGGATCCTAGGAGGTGAAGCCATTTCCAATTTTTTGTCCTCTGCCTCCCTCTGCTGTTCTTCTGGAGAAGTATTTCCTTACAACAATGAGAAAACATGTACTAGCTGCATCCTTCTCTATGCTCTCCCTGCTGGTGATAATGGGAGATACAGACAGTAAAACGGACAGCTCGTTCATAATGGACTCGGACCCTCGACGCTGCATGAGGCATCACTATGTGGATTCTATCAGTCACCCATTGTACAAGTGTAGCTCAAAGGTAAGATCAAGGTCTCTGTGAGGAGAGCATTTCCCTCAGAAACAGGTGAGGAGCCATATTTCTTTGTCAGGGGATGGAGAACTATGATCATAGCCCAAACTTAAATGATGTGGTTGGCCCACAGGGCTTGTGGGAGAATGAGGCTTTTAGAATTTCCCCCCATGCTTTGCACTGTTGTCAGTAAAACTGCCTAATCAATCATGTGCATACCCATCCAGTGGGACAGGTGTCCTTTGCCCCCTGGCTGTGACATTTATGAGTGATAGTGTGCTTTTCCAAAAAAAAAGATAGAGTCTACAAGTTATCATAACTCTCTACCTCCATCATCAATAAAGAGGAAGAGGATGCAAAGAGTGTGATTGAGCAGTGGAACATACTTCTTGGAAGGGTCTTTAAAGAATTTTTTAAATAACTGGCTGGTGAAATAACTGGCTTTGTGGTCTGAGCCTTTCTTCAGGTGCTACATTTCTGTTAAAATGATTTCAAAAGATAAGGTGGCAATATGATCATTTATCATTTTTACATTGCTTATCCAAATCGTTCTCGTTTGGTAAAGGATGCATGTTTGTTGCAGAGGCAATCCGTGCCCCAGTGGTCTGCAAAGGAATATCATGCTGAAAAGGCCACCAAGAGTGGCCAGCAACATGGACCACCCAAAAGGGAGGCACATTGTAGGGTGGAACATATGAGATCTCACGACTGTCACTGCCCCTAAACAGGCACATGAATGAAATTCGTCCACACTTGGTAAATAAGAATTTGTTTAGCCCAACCTCAGAGATTTGTACATTTAGTTTTGAGACAAAAATCCTTAAACATGCTCATATGGCAAGTATTTTTTGAAATTACCAGTATAATTAAGAATTTTTTATAATATCAGTCACTAGAATTAAGACCATATAAGCCAATCCCTCCACTCCCCATTCAAAGACATTATGACTCTTATATGCCTTGAAAATTTCCATTAATTTCTCTGATTATAGTTCAGTGATGATGATTCATTTTAGTTTAGGAGGATCAGAATTCGGGTTAAATCATTTTAACCATTATATTAATAAGGTCTATGACTGTCGGAAAAAAATAGAGATTTTCCACTTAATAAAAACTTTCTGGCTCTTATTTGTGCTTGTAGAACAAAAAAAAATGAAGTAAATAGATTAACGTAAATTTTTGCAGGGCCACAATTCCTTCTTAGGAAAAGGAAACTCAAAGAAATGGAGAAAAAACATGAGAAGTGCAGCAATTACTAGCTTCTCCTTCCCTCCATCTTCAGAAACAGACCGCACTAATATTTAGGGATTTTATTCCATGGATAATTTCTTTCTCTATTGAGTTGTCCTCCATAATCATGATTCTTTTTTTTAAAAAAGGAATTAAAATTATTTCAAAGAAAGTGTCACTATGATAGAAAGGAGCAAAGAAATAGGAGCATCTATAAAAACTAGAAAACAATCTGGAAAGATTGGATGAAATGATGGAGGAGTACCTTGGCAACAATCACACTAATCTAGCGAAGGTCAAAGAAGAGACATCATGAACTCAAACTGAAGAAATTCACATGTGAATTCTGAGCATGAGTCTTAGAAACAGACTTTAGTGTACTGTTATTCACCTTTGTTTCTTCCAGAATGCCATGGCAAATAACAGCGCAAAATTGTGATAGTAGGAGAAATGTTTGTAATTTCATGGGAACAATCTGTTTTCAAACATCCCAAACTATCCCAAATATAGCAATAGTTTTATGTAAATGGTGCTTGCAATTATAAACTTTTCTTCCCTGGCCATAAAATATGCCTGGCAGAATCTCAACTACCCAGACCTTTTCTAGGTTAGATTTTTCTCTATGTATCCAGGAGCAAAACTGTTTTCATTTGGAAATGTTCTATAATTCTTAACTCTTACATTCTCAGGCTGATCTTCTCTCTAATGTGTCTCACTTAATGAAATTGTTTGCCTTTAGAGACTTGGATAAAACATTTAACCTGTGTCTAGAAAAGAGGCAACGACAATCTACCCTAGCTTCTTTTTACAAAGAAAAGACTAGGGTAGATTTTTTGTCTCTATAAAAATTTTCCCTTGACATCATGTTCAAGGGTCATTATTTACTAAATGTGTGCCTACTGTTTGCCTGCCAATTGTTAATGCTTCCTGACTCACATTTATCCATTATCTGGCCTTGTAAAGACAAGAAAGGGAGAATGTGACCCAGGCTCAGGGAAGGGAGTATACGTGCTTGCACACCTAATATGTGTCAGGCACCTCATACTGTATACTCTAGTCATTGCCAAGAAACCTGTGATGGCAGGCATTATTATTCCCATTATCCTGGTAAGGAAAACTGAAGCCCAAAGTAATTAGATTGCTTGGTACCACATAGCCGGGGAGTGGCAATGTCTGCCTCACCGCATTCGTCTTCCTACTACTTGGATCTTCGTATTGGAGGAACACAAGTAGAATGTAGGAGCCATCACATAGAAGTTCAGGCTCTACTTCCGATCTGCTGGCAGTAATAATTTATACTCAGCAAAGTTTCTAGAAAAAATAAATAGTAGTGAAAGCCTTTCTGGGAGCTTTCAATGAGACTGTTCATCCCAGCCCTGAACTTGCAGCTGGCCAGTCCTAGGTCCCAGCTGCCCATCTCCTAGCAATTTAGGAAAGGACTGAGAGGGAGTCAGGCAGAAAAGACTGGCCACAGTGGCCCACTAAGGAGGACAGTGTGGCCACAGATTAGGATGTGCCTGATAGTTTTAAGTGGTGGCACCTCCTGGGATTGGGTACAAAAGATCCTGGGAGTAGCAGGCTCATTTAAAATCTTCATGGGAGACTAAGTTTCTCTAAAATTTGGAGTAAAGGCTGTAGAGCAAACAGGCAAAAGAGCAGTTGATAGTGGAAACAGACTGCCTGGGGGGATGTCTATGAAAACTGAGGCATGCCAGGCTTTGAAGTGAGAGACACCTGGTTTCCAATTCCAGCTCCATGGCTTGCCGAATAAGTGACTTTGAGGAAGTTCAGTAACTTCCTTCTTTGTGCCTCAGTTTCTTCCCATGCAAAATACAGCTGTCACCATGAGAGTATGGGTATGGGTGTTGGCGATTTGTAAAGCATCCAGCAGTGTCCAGCACATAATAGCCATTTAGTGAGCTGAGTGAGTAGATGATATTATGATCTTGATGATGACGTTATAAACTAAGCAGGTGTTTAGATTCAATTTTCTATTTCAGTCACAACTGAGACCTCAATAACTGCTGGGATCTGCTATAGCCTTAAAAGATTAGGAAAATGAACCTCATTGTAGTTCTTGTTAAGCACAGGGTGGGGCAGAAGAGCAAAGTAAATGTAAGCCACTGTGCTGGGTGCTAACAGGGAGGATAAAAGTAAAAGAGAAACAACCCCGATGTCTGGCTAACCTCCCTTCCCAGGTGAGTGGAGGAAGGAGGGGCTGGAGGGGATGAGCTTTGGTCTTGAGCCAGGGAGGGGATTTCAGGAAGGGAGGGTGGGAAAGCAAACTGGCAGGGAAGACCTGGAAAGTCTCAGTTGGGTGAGGAGTGGGAGATGCTGGCCCCAGGCCAGGGCGTGGAACCGGGGCATGGAACCAGGGCATGATTGTCTGAACTGGTAATGGCCACAGGAGCAGGTGGGGAGCTGGAAGAGCAACAACAAAGGATAAGGAGGAAGAGGTTTGGGAGACAAAAGCTAGGAAAAAAAGGACCTGGTATGCTAAGGGCTGAGTCCTAACAGCTTCCTAACAGGACCCCCAAGCCATCTTCTCCTGCTACCCACCAAGCTCATGGTGTGATAGGAGAAATGGAGGGAGTCAGGAATATTGTGTTTATAATACAATAGACTACTTGAGAGATATAATTTGAGAGACAAATTTATACTGAGTGCCTACCATGTCCAGGTGCTGTGGAAGGTGCTGGAGACTCTAAAGTGGAAAGAAAGAAAAAAGAGACAATTTTTCTTTTTTTTTGCCTTCATAATGCTCACAAGTAAATGGGGAGAGAGGAAGGAGAGGTGTTCAGTGCACAAAGGTCTGTCTGTATCTGTTTGATTCATGACCTGAGAGAAGGGACCAGACTAGTTGGAGTGAGCTGAGTTCCCATCTACCCTTTCAAAGCCCCCACCATCTCTCTGCTGCTTTGTTCCCTGGTTGCAATTTTCTTGGTGCCCTCAGCCTGGCACAGATCTTTTGGAGGTTGACCTGGGTCCCTGAAGATGAGCTGAGTTATTGAGGCTGCCTGTGGGAAAAGAATGGGAGAAGAAGCATGGGTGGATCTTGTTCCTGAGGAGAAAGGGGGTGCTTCAAGAGGTGCCATGGAAATAAGGGTGCATAGTGTTCACTGCTGCGAAAAAGGCAAAATATGTTTCCACTCTCTTGGAGTAAAATCGCAAAAACGCTCTTCTAGAATGGAACAGGTGGGTCTTTATTCTGATGCTAATGGTGGCATCTGGTCAGTCAAGGCTCTTGGAAGATTCAGCTCGGCATAAGCTTGGGGATGGTGAAGCTAATGTCCCAAGAAGTCCACAAGAAAAAGTTAGACTTGTATGTCTGTGGATATGGTCAGGGGTTCCTGAGGCAAATCAATGTAGATAAGGAAGTGTCTGAGTTGGCACATGCCTCAGGAAAACATAGTATCAGGAGGCAGGTATTATAGTGGTTTGGGTCAGGGGTTTGGTTTCAGATAGACCTTGGTTTGATTCCAGCTCTGCATTTTACCACCTATGTGAGTTTGGGCAAGTTACTGGAACTCTCTAAAGCTTGAGTTTCCTTATCCGTCCTAACAGTTCAGATCATAACAGTACTTTCTTGTAGTAGTGTTATAAGAATAAAATAACTCACATTGTAAGTGCTCAATAAATGTTCTTATTAGCGAAATGATGGTTATCTAGTGATCCATCTAGAGCAGAGCCCTCAAACTTGAATGGGTCCAGAGACCTGCTACTCAAAGGGTGGGCATCAGCCCAGTAGGACTGACATCAACTAGAATCTGATGGGAAATGCAGAATCTCAGCCTCCAGCCCAGAACCACTCAATCAGACCTTGCCTTTTAACAAGATCCTAGATGATTCACACTCACATTCCAGTCTGAGAAGTTCTGATCTGGAAGAGATCAGGAGATGTTCAAGTGCTGAAACACAGGTAAGACACGGCAGAGGCTAAAATGTGAAGTACTGAGAGTAGACCAGGAGAGCAGACGGTTATTCCTTCCATCCCTTAAGGATCTTATCTTTCAAACTTCTGCTTTACCACTTCAACACACAAAACAGAGATAGATTTCCTTCTAGGAGTGTGTGTGTGTGTGTGTGTGTGTGTGTGTGTGTGTGTGTGTTGAGAACATCAAGGGTCCAATAATTGCTTCATAGTCTATTCTTCCAGGAAAGGGCATTTGAATTTGGCTACAGAGGATAGATAGGTGGGATTTTATTAGGCAGAGCAAGGTAGAAAGGACATATTTGGGAGACAGAAGACATAAGCAAAGGCAAGAGGCAGGAGAATTCAGGGCACTTTCTTGGACTCCTAAGTAGTTAAATTTGATTGGAGTAGGGAGTGGGTAGTAGAGTGATGAGAACAGTTGGAAGTAAGACTGGAAATGCATCTGAAACCTGAGTCATGAAGAGCCTTGACTCCTCTTCAAGATTTTGGATTTTATTCTGAACTACTGAAGGCATTTATTGTACATGTCTGTGCATTCTTTTTGCACAAACAGTCCAGCTCCCGAGGAAGAGGGGCCCAGCCCATTGGAGGTGGCCACACGTCCTTCAGTGCCTGGAGTTCTTGTCCTTCAGAGTGGGCTGGGGGTGAAGCTGGACATCCTGAAAACTTTTAGTGAGATTGCAATCAGATTAGCTCATTTACAAATGGCCCTACGCTGTTGACTTAGTCATTTTATGAACAGTGCTAATGGCCCGATCAGTTAGGCCTACGTTTGGTTCACCTGTATATACATCATTTGGATATTATGTCCCATATCATTTTTAGCCCTTCTGAGTCAAGTTTGTTGGCACAGGATTGCTTTGTCCATCCAGACTGAAACTGCACCTCTGAAGACTCCATTATGGAAGGTGACTCTGTGAATAACTGTTTAATCAACCTAATAGATGATCTAGATGAGAGATTAGCAAATTTAACGTTATTCTAAGGTGTGGTGTCAAGCAACTCTTCCCACATACAGGCAGATGGCAGGAGAACAGACTAAGGAAAATCTTAGACTCTCTCTCTCATTAGAGAAATGGGGGTGGGAATTAGGGACTAGCCTGTGTACTACTGACCTATGGCATAATCTCTCAAAACCCGTTTCAGAGCCAGGCACAGTGGTGCATGCCTGTAGTCCTGGATACTCAGGAGGCTGAGGCAGGAGTTTAAGGTTGTAGTGTGCTATGATCATGCCTGTGAATAACCACTGCAATGCAGCCTGGACAACATAGCAAGACTGTCTCTAAAAACAAAACAAAACAAACAAACAAAACCATTTCTGATAGTTTACTTTGCCTGTCAAAATGAAGAGCAGATAGGATGGAATCAAAAGCTTTAAAAAAAATCAAAACAGCTTACAGCTGCTATTTTCTCTCTGCCTCTGTGATCATTCAGAGAAAATAAATTCACTGGTCTAGTCCAACTTATTCTTCCCTAAGCCCTGCTGTTGTTTTTTTTTTTTTCTAGTATCTCATATTGCCTTGGTGGTTGCTAAGCGATTGTTGGATTTAGCCCCAGCATATTCTCAGATAACTATGCCAATAATCTATAATTACCAGAATTCATCTTTTCTCCCTTTTGGAAAGATGGACTGGCTATTTTCTTCTTGTAAACCTTGGGTGTTTAATTCTGCGCTACAGGATGATGTCAGAGATAATAGCTGGTGAGTCATTAATAATAACTGCTAATTCCTACAATATTGTAAGGTAAATGTCAAAAGGTTTCATGCATATATATGTATCTTTTAATCTTTCCTTTGAACAGTTTCACTTTTTATGATCTTGCTGTTGGTTCTGGAATTATACGACAATTTTTTTCTTTTCTTTTTTCTTTTCTTTTCTTTTCTTTTCCTTTTTCTTTTCTTTTCTGACAGGGCCTTGCTCTGTCACTCATGCTGGAGTGCAGTGGCTTGATCGTAGCTTTCTGTAGCCTGTAATTCCTGGGTTCAAGTGATCCTCCTGCCTCAGCATCCAAAGTAGCTGGAACTACAGGTGCACATCACCACACCTGGCTAACTTTTTATTTTTTTGTAGAGACATGGTCTTGCTATGTTGCCCAGGCTGGTCTCAAACTCCTGGGCTCAAGTGATCCTCCCTCCTCAGACTCCAAAGTGTTGGGATTACAGGCATGAGACAATATACCTGGCCCAGGGTTTTTTTTTCCTCCATCACTTAACATGAAATTCACCAAGCAAAACCTCTTACATAACCATGGACAAAGAATCTCAGGTTCTCCACTCCCCTCCCCACCTTGATATTAAGATTCTGTAGCTTAATGAGTCAAGCTGTTCCACCCTACCCACCCATGACTCCAACTCCCAGGATACCAGGATTTATGTATGAGATACATAAGTGATCCTTTTGTCCATTCCGTTAAGCTGTATGCAAATTGTGTGTGCACTTATGCACATTTTTTCTGGGGATTACTTTGGTAGTTTTCATCAGATTCTTAAAGGTGTCTGTTTGCTAAAACCAGATTAACAGCTACTATAAAGAGCACATAGCCTCTGTTATTCCAGCCCAATCTTTGGAAATAGAGATTATCAGAATGGGTACATCCTAATATTTGCCCCAAATGACTGAAGATGCAGATGCAGTTACACAAATCCCAGGCTCCTTCAATGCATAAACCCAGAAGTGTGATTTCAGGGCCCCAAACATGCTCTGTCTCTACTTCATTCTCTTGTCCCAAATTGCAGCACCCAGAATATTTCTTCGTAAGCATTACTCAGGCTATCCTATTTTCTTCTTCAGAAACTATATTCCTGTTCTTTAGCTATTTCCTGCACAAATCAATTTCTTTCTGTTTTTTTTTTTTTTTTTTTTTTGTGTGTGTAGTCATTTTAATTTACTTCTTGGCTTCAATTTGGATTGACTTTCTGCATTTTGCTACAGGTAGAATTGCAATACATTGGGCCAGTGGCAGACCACTACCTGTCAGGAGAAATTTCTTTTGTTCTTTGGTTTTTACTTGTACATCACAGTGATGGGCGTCATTCAGTGGTTCTAAACCCTCAGTACACTTAGAAATCACCTAAGAAGCTTTGAAAACCATGAAAGCCTGGGCCCTATCCCCAAGGATTTTAATTCAATCGGTCTGAAAGGGGCCTGGGTGTTGCAACATGCATTGAGTCACTGGTCTAATCTAGCAGGAATTGGCAAGGAGTGTGAGGGTCTTTCAAAGGATGCTGCTTTACCTGGCTAAGCTTGTGGCTTACAGAGTAACCACCTCCTCTTCTTTCCCCAGATGGTGCTCCTGGCCAGGTGCGAGGGGCACTGCAGCCAGGCATCGCGCTCCGAGCCTTTGGTGTCGTTCAGCACTGTCCTCAAGCAACCCTTCCGTTCCTCCTGTCACTGCTGCCGGCCCCAGACTTCCAAGCTGAAGGCGTTGCGGCTGCGATGCTCAGGGGGCATGCGACTCACTGCCACCTACCGGTACATCCTCTCCTGTCACTGTGAGGAATGCAATTCCTGAGGCCCGCTGCTCTGTGTGGCTTCTGGATGGGACAACTGTAGGAGCAGTTCGACCAGCCAGGGAAAGACTGGCAAGAAAAGAGTTAAGGCAAAAAAGGATGCAACAATTCTCCCGGGACTCTGCATATTCTAGTAATAAAGACTCTACATGCTTGTTGACAGAGAGAGATACTCTGGGAACTTCTTTGCAGTTCCCATCTCCTTTCTCTGGTACAATTTCTTTTGGTTGATTTTCAGATTCAGACATTTTCTCCCTTGGATCTCGATGCTGTTTGGGTTTCCAACAATTCAGCATTAGTGGGAAAAAGTGGGCCCTCATACACAAGCATGTCAGGTTGTCAGTGTTTGGTGCATATTGAGGAAGAATTTACTTTGGAAAGTAGAAAAGCCCAGCTCTTTCTGGGACATCTTCTGTTATTGTTGATGTTTTTTTTACCTTGTCATTTTGGTCTAAGGTTGCCATTGCTGCTAAAGGTTACCGATTTCAAATTCCAGATACCAAGCATGTGGATATGTTTAGCTAGGTTTACTCACAGCCAGCGAACTGACATTAAAATAACTAACAAACAGATTCTTTTATGTGATGCTGGAACTCTTGACAGCTATAATTATTATTCAGAAATGACTTTTTGGAAGTAAAAGCAGCATAAAGAATTTGTCACGGGAAGGCTGTCTCAGATAAATTACGGTAAAATTTTGTAAGGGAGCAGACTTTTAAAGACTTGCACAAATACGGATCCTGCACTGACTCTGGAAAAGGCATATATGTACTAGTGGCATGGAGAATGCACCGTACTCATGCATGCAAATTAGACAACAAAGTATGAATCTATTTGTGGGTGTGCTATAGCTTTAGCCGTGTCGCGGGCATCATTCTCTAATATCCACTTGTCCATGTGAAATGTGTTGCCAAAATGGTGGCCTGGCTTGTCTTCTGAACATTTGGTTCAAATGCGTTTTGGTCCTGGAGGCTCAAATTTTGAGTTATTCCCATGTTTTGAAATAAAAAGAGAGTATCTTCAAAATTTTGACTGTTTAAGTATTTTTTTCCTACTTGATATCCTACTATCATGTGGACTAGAACATACATGTAGCTAGTACTTGAGCATCTCCTATGATGTGGTAAAAGGGTCAAAAAAAAAAAAAAAAAAGAAAGAAAGAGAGAGAGAAATGAGGTTCCAGAATGCATGGTGGGAACATTTTTCTGAAATCAGTGTACCAAGGTGTTGAGGGCTTATTAAATTTGATTATGAGTTTTAGATTTTAGCCCATTGAATAAACACAAAATCTAATGCATTTTGGCTTCCTTGGAAGCTATGGAATGAAACAGAGGAGTCCCCTCCTTTTTAATCTCTTTACTTTTCTCAGAAGAAAATAAATATCCATAAGTGAAGTTGGAAGAACCAGCAGAAGGACAAAATAGTTAACAACCTTTCTGTGCCATTGACTGTCCAGTGCTCAGGATCCAATGATATTACTGGGCATTACAAGAATACTCATGATGTTAGCACAATGCTATGTCCATCTTAGGCATCTCAATACAAACCCGGACTTGGCAATTCAGTTTCCAGGGCAACCTTGTCCTGGTTAACCAGAGATGATATTAACTCCCCCACTGTTAGTACAGCCAACCTGTGAATTACTTTTCCAGTAGAGATAATGGTTTTGAACACTCTTTGGCACAGCTTTCACACATTCTTAAGAAAGCCAGCAGGGTTAAATTTGTATTCATGGCTCTGAAACAGAATGAAACTAATGCTACTAAATCTTGACCTTGATCTTAACCTCTGTAGTGACACAGCCAGCCAGTCCACTAAGTTGCAGGTTCTCCTCATTCTGAAGGCAAATGCAAAATGGCAATTTGGACCATTACATGAAGAATTTTGTCATAAATGGAATTACATTTAATACTGAAAGTTAAATGGTTATAATTTTTAACTGATAATGAAAGTATTAACTGTTGGTCACATTTATGACTGTTCTTTCATGTTGCTAATCAAAAAGTGAAAAATAATACTTCCAGCCTTAAAAAGTATTTTCTTGGCTTTAAAAACTCAATTTTCTTTGAGAATCTATAATCTATACCTTAAACTCTAGTCTTTATTTCCTTCCTACCAGTTTGGGACTACAGGGGGCAGTTATATGACTCATATCTTCCAAATTCTCTGGAAGCCATAGAAAATAGTATCTTCAAATCCCATTACATGGTCTACTGTCAAAGTTTCCCCCATGGAAATGAGCAGAATATGCTTGGAGCATTAAAGAATCACAGGACAGTGGCCTTGGAAGAGCTATTAGAAAGCATACATCCTCTTCTCTCCTTAAATACATGGGCAAATGGAGGCCTGTAGAAAACAAGGAACTGGCTGAAAGTCACAGACACTCTTGGATTTGGAACTCGAACCTACACTTCCTGCTCCTCACAACCCTGACTGCTTTAATTTCCTTCCCGCCACCAGTGAAAGGAGCCTGGCTCCTTTCAGAATCTTAGGGTGTGGCGAGACAGGGTAAGGTTTAATTGGGGAATAGCAAGGCTGAGAAAGGGGAAAAATAGTTATATTTTCCCTAAAGACCTAAAAATAGCCCTGGGAACTGAGAGAGTTCAGACATTACTGGGTATTAAGTTACTATGGAATTTGTTTTCTATCTTTTAAAAATTAAACATAGTTAGCCTTATTTTGGTGTCTACCCCTAAGGATTGAGAGAGAACCAAATGAAAACATTGATCAGTTTAAAACATTACTCCTGGAATGCCTAAGAAATGCTCATTTGCTTCTCCATTTACTATGCATGAGAAAATTAAAATATGTTATAATTTTAGTAGCTTACATCTTAGAAATCTGTCTGATAATCTATAATGGTGGAGGGCAAGCCTCCTGTAGACTGATCTTGCCCTCATCATTTTTTAAGCGTTTAATAATAATGAGTTAGTACTGCAGTGGGAGGTAGAGAGGTTTATGAACTTAATTGATTTTCTTGAGATTCCAGTTTTACAGACCCATACCTTAAATCTTAATACGCATAAGCTCCTGAACTACCCCCCAGAAGCTCAAAATGAAGGACGAATCAACCTTTCTAGGTCCTGAGGAAATAGTGGTTGGTTTTCTTCTAAACTCCTGTGTTTGCTAGTCCACGTTATTTTGTGTTAGGTAGAGCAGGTCGCTTACACGTTGTGACTGGGAAACTGAGTAAGCTGATTTCTTCATTGTGACCTTGAATGAATTAAGGTATGGGTTTGCTTTTGTTCACTTCTTTGGGCACCATTGAAACCTACACACTTGAGCAAGAGAGCTGCCCAAGATGAAATACCAAATGTGTTGGGGCTGAGGGGTGGGTAGGGGTGAGAAGACTTAGATCAGAAAGGGAAGCCATATCGTGCTGATGCTGCACTTGTCATGACTCCAGGGTACAGATACCTCCTAGTGGACAGACACACCTGTTCTCTTCAGAAGCTAGAATAGTGGAGAGACTTGAATCTGGGAAGAGTTCTTCCCATCACTGCATCTTTACACTCTGGGAGGAGCTCTTTGCTTAGTGATGCCTGTTTCAAAGCACAAAAAAGTACTCACAACACCTGCTGAAGGACCGCATTTCATGAGAAATTGACATCACATGCCAACAAATCAATGTTAGAGCCTTTTGTTTTTCTGTAAGTCTTCATTGCATTAATTTTTGGTATATTCTACCATAAATCTGTGAGAGCATAAGCCTTTTCTTTTATTCAATTATAAATGTAATTTGAAATGTCTCATTGATTAATGTCATCCTGTGCCCTATGCCATCTTCTCATGTGGGGCAAAGAACATTTTAAATTTTATGACTATGGCAAACATAGAGATGCACCAGCCAGATCCCCCTTCAAAAGGGGTTGCCTCAACTGTCAACCCCTTCAGGAATGGCCTCAGCTGCAGGAGTCACCTTGCCCAAGGACATGCTCTTCCAGAATGGCTCATATCCAGTGACTGATGAAGGCCAGGGTATAAAGGCCTGGCTATCTTGGCCCAGTGAAGGACAACTCTAATGAGCACTCCTCTTTCTACCTAAGCTAGCTTCCCCACTTGTTTTCTATGGATACTGATCCCTAATAAATATCCTGCACCACAAACTCTAACTCAGTATGTGACTCTTGAGAACCAAGCCTGCAACAGTAACTTTTATATATTTATTGGTCTGTAAAAGGAAAGAAATTCACTCATTTTGGATCTAAGCCATCTAGTCTCATTGTGTGGCTCATAATATTTAAAGGTTCAAATCAATGTTTCTGCTTCCTTTAAATGCATGGTTTAAGAATATGTGACAGTGCCTCCTATGTGTCAGCTAGAATACTAAATGCTGGAGATATTGAGATCAAAAAGTCCTATCCTTGCTTTTCATAGGTGCACAGGCTGAGAGAGTGAGAGATGACTATACTAAGTGCGCTAATGACATATAGAGGTAATCTACAAAGAGATAACCTGGTGTTCTTGGTTTGAAAGCAACCATTTTAACACAAGGCAATATGACTTTTAATAATAACACTAGCATTTGTATAGCACTTCCACAGAGAGTATCTCACTTGGTTCTCAAAAGATTCTATATCTTTATGGAATAAGTTAATTATTACAAAATTTCACAGAAAAGAAACCTGAGGTCATTTTCTGACCTCAAAGTCTATGTTTTCTTTGTTGTTCCAAAAACCGTCTTTTTCTTTTTTCTAAAGCATGTGGACTAAGAAAAGGACCACCAAACCATCTTGTGTAGGTATCTGTCAATTGTCATTAGCAAACTATGATCTCAGAATGTGAGGAGCTTGTTGACATAAAGTATACAGGGTCTGACCCAACAGACCTTTACAACCTATTCTAATATGAATTTCTGAAGAAAATAAATATATTCAAAAATTGTATGTGAAACAAAGCCGTGCTTGAGAATTTAAAACTCTGTCAGAGGCCGGGTGTGGTGCTGCAGTCTCAGCTACCTGGGAGGCTGAGATGGGAGGATAGCTTGAGCCCAAGAGTTCAAGGCCAGCCTGGGCAAAATAGCAAGTCTCAAAAAAAAAAAAAAAAAAAAAACAAAAAAAAACAAACAACAACAACAACAAAAAAAACCCTCTATCATCACTGCCACCCTTGATTAATAGCATATAATGGAGCAGACATTGTGTTTAGCTTTTTCCCTGCTTTCTCTTAATTAATCTTCCCCAAAGTCCTTGAGGTTAATATTACCCGCACTTTACAGATGGCGTAAATAAGTGCTTATGATTCATAATCACTCTGGCTTTTTAAAAATATCCCAGAGTTCTTCATTATCTTCAAAATGATCATCAACACCAATACTGCCATCATCAACATAAAATGTAGATAAAGTATCTGTGCATCCATACATGCTCTGGAAATAAATTTAAAGAGGCAAGTTCTATCCTTGTAAGATCTGACATTATAAACCCTGCTATGGTTGTAAATAACTAAATTCTTAACAATGTGTTCTCTTCAATCATTAAATTCTTAACAATGTGTTCTCTTCAATCATTAAATTCTTAACAATGTGTTCTCTTCAATCTTTGGTCTGCTCTAGCAGTGTGGTTTTATTCCCCATAATCCTAATATATCAAATTATTTCCCCTTTCGCATTGGGACAGTCTCCTTCTCTTTCCCTTAGTAGGTTTCACAACTCCGTTTGCAATTCATAACTCTTTAGGTAACCATTGTTGGAAGAAGCCACAAGAAACCACAGCACTAACAAAATCGCTGGTTTGAGAAGGAACGTGGAAGGCATGTAGTCCAATTCTCTCTCTTTATAGAGGTTTTTGATCCTCTGTCTCCTGACTTCCCAACTGATGTTCACCCTACTGGCCAATATTGTTTGTGATTTTTCTTGCATGACACTTTTCCATGGACCACCTGAAACTATTCTTTACTGTTGTTGAAACCAACACATTGTGAATTTCTCTGACTCTTTGTCCACTATTACTTGCCAATTCATAGCTGTCTTCATTGTAAAAAGCATGAACTCTGGGGCTAGATTGCCAGAGTTTACAGGTTCCTGC